ATATATATATATATATATATATATATATATATATATATATATATATATATATATATATATATATATATATATATATATATATATATATATATATATATATATATATATATATATATACTATATACTTTGACCGATACAACTCGATTGTATACTATGTGGTCGCTAAATTTTTTTTTCTTTTCAATCACATTCCTTCCTGGACAGTTCGTGTCACCTGCACAACTCAGCGATGGGTTGTCTGCGCTCCTACACTCTATTCTTTTCCATCGAGCGTTCGGTGAAGTGACTCCAAGAATAGTATATTGCAAATCGATCGATGTTAGCTTTGTAAGTCGGAGTGGCCCGCCCACGTGCCAGTATATTTCTGTTTATAGTGATGTACTTGAATGCAATATATCTTTAATACACTTTGGTATAGCTTCACAGCGACGCTAGAGTACATGTAGCATCAACACAATGTATGAGGTTGAATTTATTTTCTCATTGGTTGCTTGGAGTATTTGCAAGTCGTTCTGTAAAATATTATGAATGTTGTTACTCGGGATCTTCTGTTGTAAACTTTTGTTTATGTACACTCTAGGTGTGCTGTGATAATCGAGACGTGATGGAGTCTGTCGAAGACCGAGTGCAAGATTTCTGCGACGCCCTGGATCACATGGCTAATATGGAGGAGAAGCGAGCACAGGTTTGAATCACCGGCAATATCGCTGAGTGTTTCGTAGTTTGGGTTTTGGGTGTCCCAATTGAGTCACCTATTGGTAGTCGCCTATTGTGTATGTGTTGTATGTTACAGTATCCACTGTGAACAACTCAGTAGCGGAGGGCGCTTTGTTTTGCAGTTTAGGCTTGAGTCAAGGCTTGAGCCGCGATGATATTGCAACTGGATTCAAGCCTTCACAGTCGATTGATGTGTTATTTTCCGCAGATACGCATAACGTTCTCCGAAATCCGGGAAAAGACCAATATGTTGATGATTACTCGGCAGGAGAGCGTGGTTTGGGAGGAGTGGACTATACGTACCCAGCTCCTCATGCCCAGAACCGATACAGGTGTGTTGATGCACTTCTACGATAGCAGTTGGTCATCGACGCTTTTTGCGGTGGTACATATTCACACATGGACCGACGAGACGTGCGCTTTCTCATTTGTGAATAAGTATATGGTATGTGTATGCTGTGGCTCTGCAGCTCTAACTTTCTCAGACACTGATCTACGATCGGAACATATTGCGCGTAAGGGAATTCAGCATTGTAAGAGATTGATTGTAGTTTGGATTATGTTTTATGCGACCACTCATGTCAGCTCACATGGATTTGTTGCACAGAACGTCGTGATATGAAACGGCAAGTGGAAGAGCAGATTCTAAAGAATACGGAACGGATAATCCACGCTTGCAATTCTAAATATAATCACATCCCGAGGGTGCCTAACTCCAGCCTATTCCCATTTCCCTTTGAGATAACACTTCCGAAGAATAAAGGGAGGTGGGGTGGAGGTCTCGACTACTATCGCAAAATTGTGAACGAATCGGGAGGAGCCAATCCCTCTGGATCATAGTGCGCGCTATGTATATTAAAAATCAAAAAAATCAAAGATTCGATTACAATCAGTAGGTGTTCACACGGCACAATCACAATCGTCTTATGTGCAGTGTTCCAAAAGCTAGGGACCGATGCCTTCTGAACTGGTTTCCATTATGGAAACAATCATTCTGTTATAGAACTATGACCAAAGGTGGCGGATGTATCGCTCACATTCACGAGTTCAATGTGATAGTTCCTACACTACCGGATGCGCGCGATGTTGAGATGACCGATACAGCAGCTTGTCAATCGAACACTGGTCGTGTACACGCACGTAGTACGTACAAGCTTATAATAAATAGCATTTGGATATGTTTGAATTCCTCAAAACTCCAATTTATAATATTGCTAAATTCCAAAGTTAGACTACATACGCTAGCAGTACAATAGGTGCGGTTACAACTCCCGGCCGGATGCTTACTTGCCGATTGCTTTCATTGCCTTGTCATACTTGGCAACGTCTTTCGACTTTGCGAATCTGCTTTCGACGTTGGTAATCTGAACAGACTCGCCAGCCTTCTCATCGTAATCGTACCATTCCTTCTCGGATAGGTCCACCTCCTTGAACTCGGTGTATGTCTCCGTACCCCGCACATGAAAACCAGCCTGAAATAGACGAGATGCGGCAACATACATAAGATATGCAGCTAATGCTCTAAATACTGTACACGAAATTAAAAATTCTTGAATTGGTACCTTCAAATGAGCGCCAGTTAACGTATAAACCCCCCCCCCCCCGATTTAAAATAACTGAAAACATTCTCAATGAGCGGCATAATATGGTAGTGAACAGATTTACAAAACCGTAAAATAATACTCTTCTTTAAAATTTGTATTTATCGCTTGGATATTTATGTATGCTTGTGTGTAAAAAGGCGGTAGAAAACTTACTATTTTTCGTCAAACACATGAATATATATATATATATATATATATGTGTGTATATATATATGTATAAACATATA